GGTGCACATAAGTGGTACGCAGGTGCACATGTGCGACCAAAATAAAGATTGCGCTCATTTGCAAACGACAAACTGTAATACTGTATAAGATTTCTATTCGAACTGAGAGCATATTAAAGCAATAAGCCCCAAGAAGCCGTGGTTTACAGTGAATTTATAATAGCTAAGGGGCCTTGTTAGGCACGACGTGAAGCGGAGGCTCAGCCAATCAGAATCAAGGGCCAGAACTATCCGTTTTATAAATCTAGGCTATCCGCTGCCGTTTTCAAAGCACAATGCAAAACTGTGACATTTCATTCACTTATGCCAAAGATTATAGAATACCCAAGTTGAATGTTTAGTATAGTTTTGAATGGGGCAACGCTCAATATGGCCGCTCAATCGCATGAAGCCCCACCTTCTGAATGAAAGAGCCCATCGCTAATCTCATCCAGCTCAGTTCAGTTCTCTTCAAATAGTGTCTGTGGAGTCAAGTCAACAATATTGCCAATACTGTGTGAGTGTGCATACATTTGTGTGTGTAGCTGTGTGCATAAATACACTTACAAGCATGTAAAGGCCAAATTGTTTTTCTCTTTGTGCACATTTACCCAGAGCCGATCCTCCCTATACACAAAGTACGTAGGTTGCGTAGGGCCCCCTTGCTCTCAACGATTATTTCATTTTAGTTTAATTTTTGATTTTGTCCAGAGGTTATGAAAACATGAATGTTCCTTTCCTTCGCCCTTTCTACGTAACACCCAAATCAGTCAAATCATGTAACTTGACTGTCATATACAGTCTCCTCCTCGTTCTTAATACTTAATACGTTCTTCCTCGATACTAAAAAAACAAGTTAAAATCGCACTGAGCTGCGGAAGAGACACTGTTCCCCAAGCGCTTTCCTTGTGCGCGATTCGAGACAGACTGAAACACGGACACATATAGGCTACTTTGTGCTTTGTATATGTAAAAATGTCCGCCTTGGTGAGTTTTTACTAAACACAGTCAGCTCATCGTTGATTCAGTGATGTCATCATCCAGCTCAGTTCAGTTCTCTTCAAATAGTGTCTGTGGAGTCAAGTCAACAATATTGCCAATACTGTGTGAGTGTGCATACATTTATGTGTGTAGCTGTGTGCATAAATACACTTACAAGCATGTAAAGGCCAAATTGTTTTTCTCTTTGTGCACATTTACCCAGAGCCGATCCTCCCTATACACAAACTACGTAGGTTGCGTAGGGCCCCCTTGCTCTCAACGATTATTTCATTTTAGTTTAATTTTTGATTTTGTCCAGAGGTTATGAAAACATGAATGTTCCTTTCCTTCGCCCTTTCTACGTAACACCCAAATCAGTCAAATCATGTAACTTGACTGTCATATACAGTCTCCTCCTCGTTCTTAATACTTAATACGTTCTTCCTCGATACTAAAAAAACAAGTTAAAATCGCACTGAGCTGCGGAAGAGACACTGTTCCCCAAGCGCTTTCCTTGTGCGCGATTCGAGACAGACTGAAACACGGACACATATAGGCTACTTTGTGCTTTGTATATGTAAAAATGTCCGCCTTGGTGAGTTTTTACTAAACACAGTCAGCTATGTCTTAATTGAAAATAAACCGTTTTTAAAATTAATCGAATGCAAGTCAGTATCTGTGCATTCCGTGACAGCATCCTATAAACCTGCTGCTGTCTGTCATCATCTGTTAATCAAACAATAAAACAAAATGAGAGAATTATTCACTGCTCTTCATTGAATATTGTATAACTTTGTTATGAATCAATTTATGTTTAATTTATACGGTGAAGTCTATGCAGTGCTTTATTTTTACATTTGATTACTTTAATCAATTTCTGTATAGTATGCTATTAAATGCTAAAATTGTTTGGTCCAGAATGTTGTATTTTTGACAAAACCTTCCTATGTTCAAGTGACGTGTCAGGATCTCCAGCTGGAGTGCCCATGAGATCCTCTAGAGGCCACTCCATCCTTAACCTGTACCATTGTTTCACGGACTACATTTCCCATGACACCCCATGCCAAGTACTGATTACACCTACAGCTGTTTCCAGTTAGAAGGACTATTTAAGTTGCACTCATTCACATTGCGAAGTATTGTTTTGCTGTAGCTGACTCTACCAAGTGTTTTCATTTGCCATAGCCTTGTTTCATTTGTTTTGTTTGTTTATTTATTACTTTGGACTGCTCACTTGGATTATGACCCTTGCCTGTTCCTTTGGATTACTCTTTTGCCTCTGCCTAGAATTACATTGTTTGGTGGATATTGACCTTGCCTGTTTGACCATGCATTTTGTGTAGTAAAGCTCACACTTGGTTCTACCTAAAGAGTCCCCATTACATGATGATAAAAAAAGAACAAGAAAGAAGTGAAAAAAAGAACCGATCCCGGGTTCGTAGGATCATAGAACTCGCTCCGCCACTGTGAATAAATAGCCATCCGAATCCATGAGTTTTATTACTGAGGTGCCATGTTAATTTATTTTTACAGACGTCCACATGAGAAACAATTACTGTCTGAATAGAGCTAAAGACACATTTAGGGTACAACAAGGCTAAAGGGGCACTGGGTTAAAAGGCACTTTTGATTTTATTCTGCTCTAAAAACTCACCGCAGCACTTTCTTAAACATCTGCATTTCATTATGCATTTAGAAAGTTGGCTGACTCTTGACAGAATTGTGGGCAACAAAGCAATAGGCCTAATTCTGCACTAATTTGAACTGTTTTTTTATGTATTATAGATTTATGTAGCAAATAAGTCTCAATCAAGCTATCGAATATGTTTTGAAACAAAGGTCTTGTTAATGATTTTCATCTTTTTTCAGTTTCGTAATTACTGTTGTGACTAAAGGCACAATAATTGATGTGATAATAAACAGCTGGCTAACTTTTCCATTTATTGACATGACATGATTAGATATAGATATATATAACAGCTTAATATCCTTTATGTTGGGTGTCCACCTGATAATCATATTTATACTCAAGGAAACCGAAGATGAGAGATATTTGGAAAATCCACATTCATATGCATGCAGTGATTTTATCATAAGTCATATTAATATGCAATGATAAAACCAACTGCAGCTGGAAAATGTCTAATGCCACAGAGATTATATATAGATCAGATTGTATAAAATACTGTTTGTCTGCTCCGTGTCTTTTGAACTAGTGTAATGTTTTATGATCTGAACATCATGAGGTCATGATTACATAATTATGAGCATGAGTGACAATTGAATAATCATACACAACAGTGTCAGAAGGTATTCTTTTTTATTAAGGGGTAATATGTGCCCCTAGAATTGGTTTTCAGAGGCATTTATTGCTGATTTATTAGAACATATTTTAACCATAAATTATATATAATACTGAATTAATGTTTTTTTTTTAACTGTTAAAATGATAAAACCAACTGCAGCTGGAAAATGTCTAATGCCACAGAGACTGCTCCGTGTCTTTTGAACTAGTGTAATGTTTTATGATCTGAACATCATGAGGTCGTGACAATTGAATAATCATACACAACAGTGTCAGAAGGTATTCTTTTTTATTAAGGGGTAATATGTGCCCCTAGAATTGGTTTTCAGAGGCATTTATTGCTGATTTATTAGAACATATTTTAACCATAAATTATATATAATACTGAATTAATGTTTTTTTTTTAACTGTTATTTCTAAAGTATAATCAACATCAAGTAAAACAGTACCTGTACATAATGTGCAAGATAGCATACAATAAATGCTCTGTAAATACGTTTGAAATAACTCAGCCACCCTATGTTAGATTCTGCTGTTGTATTGTTATAGTATAGTGGTAGAATTTACTGAATGAATGTATTGTTTCAAATTTTAAGACATATTTTCCAAATGTCCTGTGATTTCAGATAACAAATATGTAATAGGAACAATTGCATATATTTTGCACATTTATGGAAAATCTCACCATATTTCATAATAAAAGAGCAGACAACTTTTCCAGTGTCAGCATGGATGCAATGCACAGTGTGTGTGTGTGTGTGTGTGTACCTGGTATTTATCACGTTATGGGGACCAAATGTCCCCACAAGGATAGTAATACTAGTAAATT